AGTCAATTCCTCATAATAAATATCTTCCTCATGATAAATAGGTCATACATATGACAATGATCATATATATATGACATATATATACATATATATGTACTCTGTTGCTCTGGAGAATCCTAAATCAGAGTCCATTTTTTCCCCTTGAGCACATGATCCTCCCTTTTTAAATGGCTAATTCCTCAGGATCATTCATTTTGTTATGAAGCTTTAAAACTAAGTCATTTTTTAAAATCTCTTCTGGTGCACTCCTGCCCAATTTGTCTAGTTCTACATCAGGCCATTATTTTCCCAGATCGTTAGAGTCTTCCATCAGGTTTGTCCTCAGTGGCATCAATTTTTAAGAAGTTCAATGTAATTTTTCTTTTGGGGAATATATGATGAAATCCCCTCCCTCTATTTCTGTTATCACATTTGAACTTAGTTGGCATTTGAACTTAGCAATATCACTCTCATATGGGGCAGTTGCTTTGTCATTCAAATGTAATGATAGCATTGTTTTGTGTGTGGTGTCATACTGACTGCAGACATTGTGGCAGAAAAAAATCTGTTACAGAAATATCTCCAAGCTGTGGTGTACAAACCAACATCATATTTTAGTTTGCTAAAAACACCTACATGATATTTTATAGTCTATACAGTATTAGTATTTCAATGTGCCTTTGCATTAGTTGTCTCTCTCATCTCTGTGAAATTGGTCAGAAGCATCCCTGCCATTTCGCAGATGGGAAAATAAGATGAGGGAGGCTAGTGACTTGCCCAAGGTCTCACAAAGAATGTATTCACAGAGTTGGTGTTAGAATCTGCAGCTTCTCTGACTGTATTTTTTTTGCTAAGATCTTTAGCTTAACCTCTTCAAATTGTGAACAATTTTCAAAGTAAATATATGTTGAGAGAGGTGGTAAGAAACAAAGACAGGGAAAAATACTATCCACTTAAGTAATATTTTCCTCCACTCTAGATGTGCACTACAACTCTTCCTATTTTGGTGACTCATTCCCATCATAGCTTCGAAAATATTTGGTAATCAAAGAAAAGGATGCTGAGGGCCCTTTCTTCTCATTTCCATTTATAAAATGAAAGGACAATAATCCAATGGGATTAAAATAAATGGAATTTGCACGTGTACAGAGGAATTATTTTCAGACCACACTATTTCCCTATCTCAACATCATTTTCTCCTTTTTGGCAGTCAGTTCTACTATAAGTGCAATGCATTTGCAGTGCTTTGTAACCATTGTTACAATGTCTCCCTTAGGCAGCTAAACACAGTGGGCCAATTCTGCCACTGCTGTTTTATAGCCAAGTAAGTAAGCGTAAACAAAGGTTAAGTGACTGCCAGAAGCACTTATCATGTATTAGAACCCATGGCTCCTACCAGTCACATCCTACTGAAATTTAGAAGGTTCTAAAATATTATCTTAGTGTCAGAGAGGAGTAACAGCACCTGAAGACAAATTTTCTTACCATCCACAAAAGGACTAGCTCTGCTTTCATGGTCCCACCTGAAACTTCTCATTCCCTATCCATTCCACAAATTTCCTCATCTCTTGGAGTGAAAGAAATTTCCTTTTGTGAAACAGGTTGGAACTAAATGAATGACTTCCACGTCCAGATTTTCATTGTTTTCTGTTTGTTTCACACAGATAGTGTAGGCACTGGTTCTTGGACTAGTAACAGATCTCATTTTCCCTTGTAGAATATGACAGTGGCCCAAACTCAAGAGATCATTAGGGGAACTGACAACCCAAGGAATATAAGTCTTGTGTCCAAGTGATAAGCTCTTGCTGAAAACTAGTTACCACAAAAGATGGCATAGAAATATGCCTGTAGTTTGAATGTGTGTCTTTTCCATGTCATCTATTCTACAAGGGAAAATGAGACCTGTTACTTGTCCAAGAACCCGCAGATGATTATGTTTGCATGAAACAAACAGAAAACTTTAGAAATCAGGCCATGAAAGTCACCTGTTTAGTTCTAACTTGTTTTATCACAGGAAATTCTTTTATTTCCTTTTTTCATCATCTAATGTAAATGCTACTGTAAGTACAGTCACTAGCCAGTGTTTGGCTCCTATTATCAAGTTGATTTTTAAAATAATCAATTAGCATCTGTGGAAAACCTTCACAGGGTGTTAATATGATAAGCTCTGTTGGCAAACTTTTTCTCTAGTTATATCTTGAAGTATGGGGGGAAAATCCAAGGAAATATATTTCTTTCATGAGAATTTCCTGATAATTCTAATCAAAGATGATGTTTCATGGCAACCTTCAAGGAAGAGGTTTGCAGAGGTTCATGAAAGCAAACAGAAGAGCACAATTTTTAAAACAGATCAAAGTGGAGTTCTGCTAGAACCAGGATGAGAGATTAGAGTCTTCTCTCTCCTTGGCCTTCTCTCCTACTTTCTGGTACCTCCAGCCCTGTCCCCACCCCATCTCTACCCCCATCTAGACCTGGGTAGACTTGGTATATATTCCATTCATGTGGTCTACATCTAATTCTTTGTGGTTCAAGGCCATTCTCCTAGGCCACTCAGCGGCATGCTAAGTAACCTCTGGAATTGAACTGGATGTTCTTCCTTACCTACACCAGTTCTTTGGCTCACTAGAAGAGTTTAATTACATGCAATTTTTGCATTGCTGACCAATTTTTCAGGGCCTGCTAAGGACTATCCAGGCCTTAGTCTTTTTGACCTTCTGACAGCCTACCTGTGGACCTTTCTCCATTGAGAAAGGGAGCCAAAGAGTGCTGAAACTCAATCCAGCCTAGAGCTCACCTAAGAGCTGCAGCCTTCCCTGCCAGAGGAACCATTTCACTCCTTTTCAGTCACAGGCCCTTTGCCTTCCTTCTCTCCAGTAACCTCATCAGAACCTTCTCATGAGAGGTCAGCTATGATGCAGGACCCTGTGAGGGTCAGATGGCTACTGAAATAACACCTGCAGCTCCCTCTCCTTTGAATAGTTACCCATAATGAAAAATTAAAACCTTTAGGACGTCTGAGATCTAAATGAGACAATAGTCTGAAGTAGGCTTGGTCTGGAACCAAGGGGTGAGTATCAGGGCACCAAGTAGCTTGACCCTTTTCCTGTCACATACTCCTTCATTCCTACTAATATGGGTTGGGTGCCCACCTACAGCAGGTGCAGTTCCAGGCACAAAGAGGCCCCTATGCACTTGGAGTTAGGCCCTCGACTTAGCCCTAGGCCTTGCTTACATTCTAGGCCACAGCCTGGAAAGCAAGAATACCCAATCCTCTGCTTTTGATTCTATATTCACAGCTCCCTATGTGTGTATGTGTGCCGGGGTAAGGGCTTAAAAATCGGCTGAAGAGACCATCCCTTGATAAGATGAGCAGTAGCTGACAAGATGACCAGAAGGGCAGGGTCCATGAGGCCATATTCCAGGGCTGTTCAGCCGCAGATGACCCCGAGAGCTCCTGCCGCCTCCTACAGAGATCTCCGAGCTCACTTTATGTCTTCATCTCAGCCAGGGACTTCGGAAAGGTACAGGGGCAGAAGCGTATAGTGGGACAGATGTGGCTCGCTCTGTGGCTTCCTGGCCAGGAAGATGTGATTATGGCCCCTCTGGAATCCTGGTGGACCCAGAAGACAGCAGCAGAAGCCACATCTGCAGAAGCCACCCTGCAGAGCAGCCCGTCCAGAGGGAAGGTCTCCAAGGTCCCCCGCCGCTGAGGGCCGAGCCTCGCGTTGGCCCCTGGCTCTGCGCAAGCGCCCGCGACGCCCCGGGTCGGGAAGAGGACACGGAGGCCCCTGTAAGGGTCCCCGCTGCCAGTGGTGTGGAGGGCAGGGGCGGGCAGGGACGTGCCCTGAACTTCGGGAGGTTGTGGAGCTGGAGTTTAGTTTCGGAGATCCCGGGCCTCGCCTCCCAGCAGCGGCTGGGTGAGCCGGCCTGGAACTCACCCTTGTGGGCCCTAAGCTTCCTCCGACGGCAGGAGCTCCTCGGGGAACCTCCAAGTGCCGCGCCTCCTGCGGGCGCCACGTACCCGCGCCGTCGACCGGGTCTCGGCCCGCGCTGCGGCTGCTTCGTACTCCACAGCGCGCCGACGTGCGGCGGCTCCGGGAGCTCCCGGCCTCTCCCAGTCAGGGGCCTTCGGGCCGCCGCTTCCCTCCGGAGGAGGAGGGTCCTGCTGCAGAGGCCCCCCCAGAGCCCACGGGCAGCTACCCTACTCCGCGGCCGCCAACTTCGCCGCCGCCGGCGCGTCTCCCGGCCAGCCTTCGGCCGCAGGCGATTGGCTAGGCACCGCCCACGGCCGCTCGGGGCCCCTGTGCCACCACGATTGGCTGTCGGCTCCGCCAGTTACGGGTTGATGGACGCCCCGCCCCGCGGGGCCGGCCCGGAGCCGACTCCGCCCCCCGTTGCCGACCCCGCCCCCTCCGGAGCCTGGGCGGCTCAGCCCCGCGTTCCGCCTCATTCGCTTAGCAGGTCGGCGACTTGTCAGCGCGCTCCGGGCGCCTGCTGAGCCGGGCGGCCGCCGGGCTTGCTGCGCTGCCCCCGAGGTGCCCACTGGAGCCCATGAGCCTGGGTCCGCTGGAGCGTGAGCGGCTGCCGACCGGGGGCAAGTTGGGACTCCGGACCCGCAGCAGGGGCGGCGGTTTGCGAGCGGACTCGGCGAGGAGGGTGAGTGGCCGCGCGCACGGCTAGCGGCTCCTCTCCGCGCGGTGCGGCGGCCGGCGAGCCGGGTGCCCGCCGCGTCGGGTGCTCGTCTGCCGGTTGGTCCGAGCGAGCCGCTGTGGGAGGTCGAGGCCGGGCGGGATTCACTCCGTGCCAACATCCCGCTCCCGAACTTCTTGTTTCAGAGCATCCCGACTCGGCCGGGACGCGGCTCTGCGCACGCCCAACTTGGCGAGGTGGACGTCGCTGGGTGGCCGGGGGCGCGTCCCTGCCCCTCTGCGGAGGCCGCGCCGCGCCTGGGGCTGCCTCCGCGCCGGCGGCGTGCGGACGCTCCTGCGGAGGGCCGGCGGGGCGGCGCGCCGGGGCGGCGGGACTCGCAGGCTGAGCGGGCGCTCCGCGTTCGGGCGGGTCTTCGGCGTCCGGAGAGCCGAGCCACCCGCGGGGCGCCGTGGCCGGGCGTCAGCGCTTTGCGGGCGTTAAAGGGATTACAGCACTGCCGGACATTGAACTTTGTGAAGTGATTAGTTTTTATTGGCACTTGAATCCGTGTCCCTCCTGAGGTGCGTCCGAAGGACTTCGTTAGGACCGGGAGGGAGGCTGGCCGCGCGGGTGCCCGGAGCCCCGGAGGAGCCCAGCTGAAACTGAAGGGACTCGCCAGCGGGTCGTCGTGTTGTCTGAACACCTGTGTGTTTAAGTGACGGAGTTGTGACGGGAACTGACAACAGGATTCAAGGTTAAACCTGACACTTCGTTTGTGACTCCGTCTGGGTTAGGTTTGTTTGTTTTTGTTTTCCTCCTCTTAATGGTAAGGGGATAAAATCAACATGTTTCTCTGAGAGCAGTTACATACATGTAGTTTATGTTATATGTGGACTAAATAGAATTCAATAGGATATTTTCTTTTAGTTCTTATTTGACATGAATGAGAGCTTATTGAGAGTACTGGATAGAGACTTGGATACAGAACTTAGGAATATTTAGATCTTTGAAAATATATAAAAACATTGAGATGTGTAGATGCACATGTATACACACGTACACGTATATGTGTGTGTATCTATATATTAATATAAAACCGATAGGTGAATGAAATAGAAATACATGAAGGGGAAACTCAGCCTTGAACTTCCCCTGGGTCACAGACACAGACTCCTTGAGCTGTAGGGTGTCCGGTGAGTGAATGTGTAAGCATGTCTGCATCTGCCTGGTCTGTCTGGGTCAGTGTATGTCCATGAACTTTACAAGCGTTCAGTTCAGTACCACTCCGTGTAGATTCCTCGTTCCTCTTTTACAGCCCAACAGCCGCCAGTTGGCCCATCTGTTAAAACATAACATGTACACTTCAATCAGAGCACTGGGGTGGAGCGTGGGTAGGGGTAACCCTTAGCAGAAACAACATGCTACAAACAAAGCCTGACTATCCAGTTCTATTTCCATTCAATATTTGGCCTACACTTGCAATTTTGGTGAGAAAGAGAGAGGGAGTGTTTGTCTCTAGAAATGGCAAACTGTATTTTGTGAAATAATTATAGCATGGTTTGGGGAAGGCGAGTTTATAGGAGAAAAAAAATCCCTCTAGAAAAGAAATATGGTGCTTGTCACATCACCATGCAACACTGGTTTATAGCTTTGCAGGAGCATGTATATCAGTAAGTGTTTTTTTTCTTTTGCTTGTTAAGAGAATGCATTAAAACTGAATTGTTTTGGACCCCCTTCCCCCAAAAAACCTCACCTTAATAGAAGTAAACAGAGCTTTATTGCGAAGGCTAGAGTTAAGACTTAGTAATTCTAATGAAATATGCTTTTAGGAATTTATAACTTGCACATAAATTCATATTCAGCCTAATCACCAGTTGCAGTGGTTCACAATTTATAGTTTAAAAATAATAAAAAGGCTTTATCACAAAAATTCTGATGACTAAAAGGGCATGGGAGGAGTATAACAGCTTAATAAGTTCCTGCAGCCAAGTGACTGATACTTTAAAAAAACTGTAAATTCCTATAATAGCATAATTACTTTCGGTGACAAAATAAAGGCAGCATTTTTGAGAAGCATAGTTGATGTTTTTCCCAATAATTTTATGCTCATAATTACATTTTAATAATGGTGTTCATTATATGTAGGCAGAATAAACTGGAATGGTTTTTAAAAACTCATCACAAGAAATATTGTTTTCAATTTTGTGGTGTATAAACATTTTTGGGAAAATATGCAAATCCTTAATATATGAGTGCCTTTAAATTTCTGATGGACTATAAAGGCATAACAATTCTCCCACCTAGATATGATTCATCCAGATCAATTGGGTTGTTCCTTGGAAATTCAGTTCTTCGGCTGGACTAGTCCCAGGGATTTGATTTAGCCATCTGGGGTAGATCTTAGGAATCTGCATTTTAAATAAGTACTCTCCAAGTGATTTAGATACCAAGGATCCCCTCAGAATATTTTCAGAAACACTGGAATGATGTTTGTGATATAAAATGACAATTATAGTCTGTGAGTTGATTTAATGAATAATTATTGAGAAACTTCCAGGTGGCATTTACTAGGTATGTGAAATTTATAGGTAATGCATTAACTCTCTGTCTTCAACAATGGACCCCTTATGTCCTGTGTTTGAAAGTGTTATGGAATCCTCAGCTATTCCTGTTCTAGGTTGTTCCCAGTTCTAAGGAAGTCTGTCTGGGGAAGCAAGGTAATTTAAGATGCCCTCCCCAGTCTTAACCCCTCCCTGCCCACTTTGAGTTCACTGGGTTCCTGTGATGCTCTGCAGTGACTCTGCCGGTCCTTATTTATGTTGTTAGGCATTTCTTCTTGGAGGGTAGAATCCTCATCTTTCTAAGGCACCTTTGTCTCTTTAAAAACCATTCTAGAACCAAAGTGCACACCTCAGCTGGGCTAGACTTATACGAGGTCAAGGATCTCCTTGGAAAACTGTGGCTGTTCTGTTTGTTGGTCAGGGCCACCCAGAGGCCCAGGAATTCTTATTTTCTGAAAATCACGTTAGAAGTATCTTGATCTGTCTAATTAATTGTGTAAGTAGATTTTCTCATTTTTATAGAGAGATATGTTGAGAATTGTTTGCTGCCTCTTCTTTCGTTGAAATCACTGTGAATTTTGACTGATTATTGCCATTAGTGTTTTATTTATCATTTGATACTGACATTTGGATTCTGTTCTCCCATTTCAGACTGGCATAATTCTCTATAAATAAGGTTTGAAAGAGAAAGGATTTATCAGAAGTTGCCCTTTTCCTCTCTCTAATATTGAAGTACCTAAAAAACCAAATGATTTCTTTTCGAGGTCAGAAGTGCCCAAAATATGTACTTCCCTGATGGCAAAAGAATGTGGATAGAGCCAGGGCACTGAACTTGGATTGTTCCGGACCACTGGATCATCACTGGGACTTTTATGGAGCAATTTCTGTTTAAAGATGCACTTGGCAGGCATGTTGATAGGTCACTTATCTTAACAATCCTTTGAGGACAATGATTTTTTCCCACTTTGTTACAGATGAGCAAACAGCAACCACAAAAGGATGATATTTAGATCCTGTCTTTCATTTTCAAAGATGATACCAGTAAATGAGAAGTTGGCCTTGCATTTTAAATTGTTTTTATTTAGCACTGTGGTGCTGTAATAGGGTTATGCTTAGTCATTCATAGCATCTACAGGTTTTTTGGTTGTTTTTTTTTTACCATTTTCTTCAGATTTTTTTATATTAAATATAACCTTGTAACAGTTCTCTTTAGAAAGTTAACCACTTTGTATGCTAACTGATTCAATGTCCCTGACCTTAACTACCCAGCCTTGACCCAGAGAGGCAAATAATTTGCTAAAGGTAACAGAGCACAACAGCAGCAAAGCCTGGAAGTGGAATTCTTCAGACCTGTATTTTAGCCCTGTGCTGGTTTGTCTATTGTCATGTTAAGATGCTAAAAATGTTTTTACTCTGGCAAAATGGAGTTGTTTATATTTCATGTGCCCAGCTTCTGCATGATTGGATGGACTTCGAAAAATTGGAAAGCCCAATAACGTATACCACAGCTCCTGATCATACAATGGGACTGATTTGCCCAGTTAAAAACCTACAGTAGAATGCTGTTTTGGTTGGAACTAGGCCATAGGTCATTGCAAGCTTCTATGCAACAATTCTTAATTTTTTTTTTTAGCTATGGCAAACTCTGGCAACTTTCAGTTGACAAATTCCGTTCAAATTTCTGATGCATCTTTCCTTACCCTTATTCCCATGGCGAAATCCGCTTGTAAAAAATTCACTTTTTAAGTCAGTCTTCCCTCCTATTTTTACTATTTTTACTATTTCTCCTTCGAAATGCCTCCTCCAAGCTCCTACTTTCATTTTAGTTTTTGGGTCTAGTAATATCCACTAATATAGAACAGTCATTGAGCTATAGAAGTTTTACACTAGTTTCAGCTTTATGGATTTAACAATAGCAATAGTAAGAAAAAACAAAAAGGTGATGGATAATATCGAAGTCATGTTGATATGTGTAAGATATTAGGCATTCCCAGCTTATAGTGTCAGTGGGAAATTTAAAATCCAGATGAACGAAGTGACAGATGCACTCATCTGTGGCTTCCAGATATACTCCTGATACAGCTGAGAAATAGGCTGCAACAGCATCCTGCCCTACAGAAGGAAAACAATGAGAAAAGAACTGGGCAAAAAGTGAAGGGTCAGGGTAGGGGTCAGATGGGGAGTGCGGTGGGAAAGAAATACCCCCAGTAAAATGCCAGACAGAGTGGTAAGGAATTTATAGAGGTTCTGTGGTTTGGGGTTTCTTGGGGGCATTGATTCTGTTTTATATTGTCTTCACAACTCGCTTGCCCTGCTTGCTTTAAATAATTTATTATAGCAGCAGGCCTTCCCCTGGTTAGTTTCTTTTTTTATAACTTTTTCCTTCTCATCTCTAGGTCTAATCGGAGGCATGTATAATAGTGTGGCTGCCCTGGAGTACTTAGGAAAATCCATGATCAATATCACTACATTATAAACCCATGGCTATTCTATTTTGCAGTGTTGTCTTCCATGTTATATTAACTCAGTGTTATGTTTTAAATAATATTTTATTAATCTTTGCACAGTGAGACTTCTGGGCTTATTCTTCTTGGCTGGAACTATCTTTTGAGTAATCCATCATCAGACCACCATTGATCTAATGATGTATTTATTGCTCACTATTGCAGCACTGGCAAGAAACCCAGTATGGTTCTAAAAATTTGATTAAAAAGAAATCAAGTTTTTGTAAGGCGTAGCCATCCAATTATGTTAGGAGCTGCCAAATATATTTTATACTAAAATATACACACATATTTCAAGTGAGAAAAATGTGTTCTTTTTGAAAGCTTTTAAAACTTTTGTTATGAAATAATAGAATAAGAAGATGCCTCATAGTTAGAAAAGTTATGAATGTACTCTCCCACCCCAGTCAAAGGTAAAATATAGTATTTTTTTATATTATACCCCTGAGCCCTAAAATAGGTAGACTTCTCTTTTTAATAGACAATAATAAAAACAGTGGTGATAAGAACTAGTTCCTAGTCCTTAAATGATCTTCCAGGTAATCATTACAGATTAAAATGAGCTGATATTAATTAACAAATACTAACTGAGGACCTATCACAGGTAGTACCTCTTCTCTGCTTAGCTAACTCAAAATTCAGTTCAAGTATTAGCACCTTTGTGAAGCTTTTCCATGCCCCCTTTGGCCTGATGTCTTCTTCAGGCAGAACCCGTATCTCTTCTGTTCT